ATATAAACTAACTTTTTAATTATAAAAATTAAATATAAACTAACTTATCAGCTATCAGTTAGGTAATCATCATAAATGTCACACGCAGGTGTGTGGTTGAGATACGCTCAATGTTTTAAGATGTGATATTTTGTAATTTTAGGTTGCATTTTAAATCGCAAAACATAAAAACGAGGTTACAAATTTTTTTTCCCTTCAAAATTGAATTGATAATTATCAGAATATATCGGTAAAGTAATCAGTAAAATCTATTGGATCAGTTGAACTATATATATACAATGACTAGCTCAGTAATGGCTAATATTGTGGTATTTATTGTACTAAAAAAAAAAAAAATATTGTGGTATTTAAAACAATACTTATTAATTAATTTAATATTAAAAAATTATTGTTTATCTGATGTTTTTTAGTTTAGAGGTGAATTTTCAACAAGTCTGACTCGATTTGAGCAGGGAATGAAGCTCGAGAGGTGCATAAACGCCACCACGTGCCTAGACCGGCCTCCCAAAGTCATGCGGGTGGCGCGTGGGGCCAGCGCCAGCATCTACGTGGACAACGCCGCCTTCAGAGACTTCCTCCACCACAAATTCGAAATCACCGTAATCGAGATGGAGAGCGCCGCCGTGGCCCTTGTCTGTCGCCAGCAGCGCGTCCCCTTCATCATCTTCCGAGCGCTCTCTGACCTCGCCGGCGGCGGCTACGCCGAGTCGAACGAGGCCGACGCATTCACACCGCTGGCGGCAAACAACTCTGTGACGGTGGTGGTGGAGTTCGTCCGGCTGTTGGGTGCCTCCGGCCGCCATGTGGAGCGGCTCCGCGTCATGAAACACTAGCCTTTGTGTCGTTTTGGACAAGTCGTTTTGTCAGCTCTTTATTTCGTTATCTATATAATTGCTGACAAAGCAATAAATAACACCTAATTAATAAAATATCTATAACTTTCCGCACATTTTTTCAATTAATGTGGAACCGTCACATTTTATATTAATAAAGTGTAAGTAATTTTAAACTAATTTATTATATAATAATTACTACTAATACTAACTATTTATAAATTTACATTAAATAATATGTGAAAGTTAAATACTTATAAAAAATTATATTGCAAGTTTTTTCTCTTTAAGATACTTATTTTGCAATAAATATTATTTTTTTCGTCTTATCAAACGTTTTTTCTCAAATATTAGTTAGTTGGCATGGGTGTCTAAATCTCTTAAAATCACGTAAACAAGTTCTATAACAATAATAAAAATAAATGATTTTCTAACTAATTAATTGTATGGTCTATTTAAACTACAAAATTATACTGTCCATTAAAATTAATGTCACAATAACATCAAACATAAGTTAAATAATTAATTTATATTGTACACTTACATACCCAAAAATGTATAATGTAATAAATCTATTATTTAATTTAAAATTTTAAATATGGTATACACATGCATATATAATATATAAATTTTTATTTATCATTGTGCATGTTCACAGGAATGGATAGTAGTTAAAATAAATAGAAGCTCATTTACATTTCACTGTACTTTTTTATTTTATATTTTTAATAAGAATACCACATTCCAAATTATATGATACATACATCATTCACAAATCCGTTCTAAACATTAAAATATAATTTATAAAATAATAATAAAAATAAATATTAAATCAAAATTCATAAACCTAAAATTTAATATAATTACAATTAAAATAAAACTTTATAAATGCATAAATGAAAAATAAAGTAAATGTTGAAATTGTTTTATAAATAAAGGGCACACGAATTTGTGAAGGGAAGTCAAATATTAAAAATGGACGGTTAACTGGCCCAAGAAAATTCAACTAGGCCCAAAACCTTTGGGCTACATAAAAATATTGTCATTTTTCAATTATATAATATAGTTAATGTTAAAAGAAAGAGAAAAATGATAATCAAATATAAGAAATATATGCAATAAAATAAAATATTAACAAATAATTATTATCATTGTAATGTATTAATATATACTTTAAGGGGATTTGATAAAGAATAATATTAGGCTAACACATATATTACAATTTATTCTCATATTCATTTTGGAAAGATGCTAAAAACAACATTACTTGTTTGTAATTCATGGTACATAAGATATGAACTCATACTAATAAGAAGCTCTAACATAAACTTCTAAAATCTTGTTACTTTATAACAACACTATTCTTTCTCTATTCCGTCCTTCAATGGCCCATAAGCTCTACTACACAAAACAAAGTAGATCATGTTAGCCATGCCCAACCCAACTAGAACCAAGTAGTAATAGTCATAGTGTCCCTTGTTGATATCGCTCGATATCCAACTCTCTTCCCCGCCTGCACTCGACAAAGCATCCACGCTATTCATCACGAAACTCGCGACCAAACTCGCTAACGACTCCCCAAACCCGTTCAACGTGAGAGCTATGCTCGACATGCTCCTCGGGAGCTCAGAAAAGTAAAACTCATTTTGAGCTATCGCGTTTGAGGCCACTGCGAATCCAATGAGGCAGTATTGTGGGACCAACCACAGGGCTGACATGTGAGTCGAGCTACCCTCTCGCCACGCGACTGACCTACGAGTGAATTCCACGACGAATGAGGTTGTCATGGCCAAGAATGATATGAAAATCCCAATTCCCATCCTCCTTGTAGTGCTTATTCGCAAGGGTTTTTTCTTGATTCTCGATGCTAAGGGGAGAAACACACGGTCGTAGACCACGATCCACAGTATGGCGGCTATAACTTTAAATGTGCTGAATGAGGCTTGCGGTATCGAGAAACTTGAGGTGATCTTTCGGTCCATTGAGGCGGTCTGGAGTATGGGGAATGTGGTTTGGCTCATGGTTACTGACATGATAATCCTAGTCGACCATATCGGCATAACTCGAATTAGGGCTTTGAGCTCTTCAACTTGATCGACGGCGCAGAGTCTCCACGGGTTCTTGGCATTCCCATCGATTGTTAGATCTTCCTCCGGATCCCTAACGACGCATGCCTTATTTAAAAACCTATAAGATCAACATGAATTCGACTTGTAAAGATATCGAATTCTTTTGTTTGTTTTTTTATAACATCTCATAAGAATATCGATTCTTCGGAAGGAAAACTATGATACCTTAAACTTTGGCTCGGGGAAGCAAGATCCGACTCATCTCTACAATGCCACGCGCAATCAACGCCGTCCGACATTTCATAATATCGGTTCCTAAATGAGGCCACTGCCACCCGGACGAAACCAACGACCAAGCTCGGCTCTCCCCTCACTTTCACATAAAGATTCGAACCTAAAAAGAAGATAACCACGGCCACGAACATCAAAGCAACGGGGACCGCAAGGCCGATTCCCCATCCCATGTTGTCTTGAACGTAGACAACACATGTCAAGGCTACGAGGGTCGAGAGCGCGTAAGCCGCATAGTACCACCCGAAATAGCTCTCCCTTAAGCCCAACCTCTTCCGAAAATCTTCTCTTTCGAGTTGATTGGCCCCGAAGGCCAAGCACGAAGACCGGATGCCACCAGCCCCGATTGTGATGAGCACGAAAGACAAGCAAAGATATACGAGCTGCGAAAATGTTGGGGCAAAGCACGTGCTGAACGTAGTTCGGTCGCACGGTGGTGGCTTCGTGTGCGGGAAGACAGCTGTCGACCAAAGGAGTGTCGTGCCCTATGTCGGGAAATTTGATCATGCACAAAATTAGTTAGGCACAAACTATAGTTAAGAGAAGAAACACGAGAAAAACAGGCACAAAATTAGGTAGGCACAAACTATAGTTTAGAGAAGAAACACAAATAAAAAAAAAAAGGGAAAAATATAAATTACTATTAGGCAGACGATGGATCCGATTCCGATTGTTCGGAATCTTCCCAAGTAAGAATCGGCGGCCAAGGCCCCGACAAGGGTCATGAAGTTCGTGGCCGATGACCATAGAAACAGCACATTCGACACGGCAGTCAGTTCCAAGTGATACTCATTCATGAGGTACAAAGTCATGTTTGGCGATAGCCCGAAGATCGCCATCTTCTCTAGTGCCTCGATGCCTGTCGAGACGAACAAATTATCGGCACAAACCAAACATGTCACAAGCAAAGAAAACCAGAGTTTGATCATGAATGATTGAATATAGTCATGCCAAAGAATGGAAAACATTGGAACTTGAAACTGATCAATGATCAATGAAAATGGATGAGAGAAAGAAACTGAACTTTGCCTGTTAATCCTCACAATGAATTGAAAATCTTACTCTTTGAGTACAAAAGTTCTTGAAATTGTGACATATGAAGACAATGCAAAAACAGGGTAG